TGGAGCAAATTTGGGTAGTCGCGGACAGAGTCCAACATCTCCTGAGCAATGTTAATGCGATGCTGTTTTTGGTCGAAATTGAGCAATTTTGGTACGAATTTCGCGGCGACCCGTGTCATGCCCAAATCATTGGTAAAAATCGAATGGCACGAGCCAATCGATATGTTTAGGTCCTCAGCAACTTCTCTAACGGTGATTCGACGATTGACCAATACTATTTTCTTCACTTCATCAATGTTTTCGTCTGTTGTTGACGTGCTCGGGCGTCCGGCACGCTCTTCGTCGTTCACATCTTCTCGGCCCTCGGAAAACATTTTGTACCACCGATAAACGTTGCTTCGGTCCAAGGTAGCTTCACCATATGCCACAGTCAACATTCGGAATGCGTCCGCGCACTTAATTTTGTTTTTCACACAAAATTTGATACAGATTCTTTGATCCATTTTTTGGAATAGGCAAAAATCGAAGACGAGCCAAAACACGTGCAAGCAAAGCAGCTGTCAAAAATTAACTGAACATTCAAAATGGCCGTACTTGTCGGCATAAATGAGAAACATGAGTACCAACATAACGCCACAAAAAAATCGAAAATCGAATATACGTAACCCGCGGAAATTCAAAATTCGCGATACTTTTTGAACACACCTCGTATATTGGCTAAAAATTCTTGCATGCCATTTATATATATATATATATATATATATATATATATATATATTATACAGAATGTTCCATTTTATAAGATCCACATAAATATATCTCTTGTATAATGCATTTTAAAGATTTTAAACAAAAGTTGAATAGGGGGGGAGGGGAGTTGGTACTACTGACTTTTTTAAAGGGCGATTTTCAAAGTCATTTGTTTTTTAAATGAAACCTTAATTTTTTTTTATATAAAATCAATTTTTTACAATTTTTAGCATAAAAAGTTATAAGGATAAGATGGTCAGAAATGAATAGTTACAGAGATATTTTATACTTTATATATATATATATATATATATATATATATATGAGGCATTATTTATAAAGTAATCCACCCAAATTTTCAAAGTTTTCCAATCACGCTGAAATGTGTAGAAAGTGTAGTTCCATCAATAATAAAATTATTCCTCAAGTTGTTTGGCCCACACCATACAGGCTCTGTGTTAACAGGGACTTGAATAATTTTTATCATTTTGGCCATTACGTCCAACTTAAAACGCTGATAAATTTCAGAAGACTACTCCGATTTTAAAAAATAAGGTGTGATTTCGAAAGATCTTTTTACGTACTTTAATCTTGTAAAATTAGTTTTTTCTTTCAATAACAATTTACATAAGATTTTCAAAAAACAGTAAAAATCAATTTTTTCTCAAATTTAGACATCTTCGATTTTCTTCAAGAAAATCTTTTAAAAAAGTAGAAATCTTCCCCTTTAAAACGCTTCCAAGGCCAAGATGGGCAGGCTTTTAGTTTTCAAGATATAGTCTATTTTAGAGCCAAGCGTGTCACCCATGATGCAGTTCGGACGCTGTTACAAATACAGAAAGATATCTGGCCAGTTCTATTGCTTGTGGCCAAGCGTGGTGACTTCTCATATATTGTATGGATAATAAAATGGACTATATCTTGAAAACTAAAAGCCTGCCCATCTTGGCCTTGGAAGCGTTTTAAAGGGGAAGATTTCTACTTTTTTAAAGATTTTCTTGAAGAAAATCGAAGATGTCTAAATTTGAGAAAAAATTGATTTTTACTTTGTTTTTTGAAAATCTTATATAAATTGTTATTGAAAGAAAAAACTAATTTTACAAGATTAAAGTACGTAAAAAGACCTTTCGAAATCACACCTTATTTCTTAAAATCGGAGTAGTCTTCTAAAATTTATCAACGTTTGAAGTTGGACGTAACGGCCAAAATGATAAAAATTCAAGTCCCTGTTAATAGAGAGCCTGTATGGTGTGGGCCAAACAACTTGAAGAATAATTTTACTTTTGATAGGACTACAATTTCTGCAAATTTCAGCGTGATTGGAAAACTTTGAAAATTTGGGTGGATCACTTCATAAATAATGCCCCATATATGTTATAGGTTTGTTCGCGTCGCATGCCCCAACATGCTCCTTATTTCAATGCGCTCGTATTGGTGCGCTCCTTGAATTGGACCAATACGAGCGCATTGAAGTAAAAAGAAGCAAGTTGGGGCATGCGACGCGAACAAACCTTTATATGTTTAAAATAAAGAATAATAAACATTGCAAATAAGAAATTTATGAAAAAAAGCTCCCTTTTCATCAATTGATTTCTTTCATTATTTTATGTATAAAAGTATTGAGATAAGATCGTCAAAAAATGAATATTTTACGAGATATTTTATAGTTTATGTAAAATTATGTTAAACTCTAAAATATAAAATATATCTCGTAAACTATTCATTTTTGGCCATCTTATTATCTTTTATAACTTTTTATGCCAAAAATTGCAAGAAATACATTTATATTAAAAAAATTTAAAGTACACTGGTCAAAAAAATTATCGCAACACGCAATTAATATCATAATTTTGCGTAAATTCAAATAAACGTATTTCCGCGAAAAATTATCGTATTTGAAAAAAATTTTTTTTGTTTTGAAGGGTGAAGTCTCTACTTAAGAAATTTTCATTCGATTTTGATTTCATCCTCTCCTCCTTTCTTCACCCTTTCAAAAGTAACGTGTTTTTTTTCAAAAAATTACAAAATTTGACGAACTCTACGGAGTGAAATAAATTTTTTTCGCAAATCTTATCCAAATTTTCGTAAAATATGAACTTTTTCCTACAAATTAAAAATAAAGCAAAGTTCGTACGATTTTTGTTGGCAGAGTTACGGCATATCAAAGTTATCTATGCATATAAATCTAAATCGTAAGAAGGCATAAAGAGCCAAACGCGGATGTTGCTATGGAAACAAATCGTGCACAAGGCACATATTACTCTTGGTGTACTAACCAAGACTTTGAAAATTGAAATAATCTCTTACTTGAGATTTCATTTCAAGAACCCCTTGACCCCCCTACCGAAATAAATAAATAAATGCGAGAGAAAAATATAGATCCGAAAGTCGCTGAATCGGGAATCGAACCCGAGACCTTTCGCTTGCCTGGCAACTGCTCTTCCAATTGAGCTATTCAGACCAGGGGTTTTTGAAATAAAATCTCAAGTAAGAGATTATTTTAATTTTCAAAGTCTTGGTTAGTACACCAAGAGTAATATGTGCCTTGTGCACGATTTGTTTCCATAGCAACATCCCCGTTTGGCTCTTCATGCCTTCTTACAATTTAGATTTATATTTATATTACAGAGCCTGTTTATTGAATCTTAGTTATCTATGCATTTTTGTGCAATTATCACCAGCATTAGCGATATTCGACGCACACCAACGATGATTGCGCGACAAATTGCTAATGAAGATCTCCCTCACAGAATCAGTGATCAAACAATTAAAAGACGTTTACGTGAACGTGGTTTAAGATCGCAAGTTCGACATTTTCCTCTTCTAATGTATGAAAAAAATATATGATCCATACATTTGGAACGCGAAATTTTGATATTAATTGCGTGTTGCAATAATTTTTTGACCAGTGTAGTTCCATTTAAAAAACAAAAAGTCCTTTACTATTTTGGAATTTTCGCAATGTGTGTGTATAAATTACATATTCTTAAGTTAATACGTATATGTATATTTATTAATGACGCTGTTGTCGCATATGAGAGTAATGAAGCTGTAAAATCAAATAAAACATATATGACAGATAGTCAGACAATTTGTTCCATGATTTAGTTTTTGTTTCTTTTTGAGAGAAAGAGAGAACCGAAATATCGAACGAATTATGTAAATGCATATAAACTAAAACGAAACTTTTTTTTTAAAGTATTATACATTTATTTTGGTGAAATCTTAATGTGTACCTATAATGTAGTAGTATCTACAATTACATCTATAAGTAATGAGTATACACATACACATACTCATGAACACACATACATATGTGTTAACACCTATATCAATAATAATATATGAAATAAAAATAAAATTACATAACAAATATATGCAAATTTGAATAAAGATTCACGTAATGTTGGATATGGAGATATATAACTTTGCTTTTGCATCAATATTATTGATGATATATCCTATAATAGAGTATATCCTTGCACACATAGTGTATTATATACTATCTTATAACTAAACAATTATGACATAATAATAGAAACTTACGTAATAAGAATTATCGTGATTTAATATATATTGTAATGATATATATATATATATATAATCATATAAAATATAAAGTCGTTGTTGAAATTATACGATACTACAATTTAGTCAAGATATAGATAGATCTTTCGTGTTTGGTTTTCAAGTTCTATCAAATAAAGCTTCTTTTCGCATAGAACACACATCTCTCTCTGAACACTATATTCTTTGGAACCTATATTCTATTGAACCGAAAATTGAATTAAACGGCGTTGTCGTAGACATTAACATTTCATTCATCAACAATGGTAATATTTACTTATTCATCTCTTTTTTTTACACAAAGTTACAACTGGTAAAGTGTGGCTTAAATTTTCGTATGGCAAATGACTGTGCAATCAGCAATGAATATTGATTGATATATCTCATAATATCCATTTTCGATTACTATGTAAATGTTTACATTATTTGATAATGCATCGAGTGATATTACATTATCGTTCACTTATAATTCAATAAACTTGTATAACATAAATTTCCTATATATTATATTTTTTTATCTATTATCGTTCGTATATCTATAGTTGTGACTTGTGTGTGTCGCATTTGAATCAACAGTGTTTCACAACAAACGTTAAATGAAGTTTATAAATTATTATTGTAAACAAAAAAAAGAATACAAAAAGGCACAAGAAAAATGAAAAAAAATAAAAATAAAAATAAATCTATCGAGTTTGTAAATAATTATTTTATTTGATAATAATCATTTGAAAAAAAACACTGAAACCCAAGCATACATCATTTTGACGTCAATTTGGGAAGATTTTGATAATAATAATGATGACAAATAATATTTAAAACCAAAAATAAACTCTGGCTAACACCCATAATAACTTTTTCCTCTTTTCTTGGATATATTTTTTTAAATGTTTATATCCAACGTTTTTTTTTATTGTCAATCTGATAGCCTGCAATTCTACATTTCGCTTTTATATATATATATATATATATATATATATATATATACGTGATGCTAATACACAATAGTGCAAGCTTTATTACAAGATGCAAAACTTTATCATGCAATTTAACGAGATTTTCACGAGATGTAATACAAAGAAATAGTGTAGCTTTAATACCGAAGCGCTCAAACGTTTCCCCGTTTTCCTTGCTGACTCAGTTCGATGGCCAGGGCCAATTCGGCGTCTTCCTTCTCTTTAAGCCTAAGCCTCTCCTCCTCCGCTTTTATACTCTGCTTCGCTGCCCAGACCAGTTGCTCCTCCTCCGTCAGCTCGGTCACGTTGTTCCCGTTCCAAATCCTGCCGAAATTATTATTCGCGGGCTTCACCTCGTCGTTGTTGTAAATATTAGACTCGTGCTTCGTGATAATAGTTTTCTTAGCGGAGAACGCTTCGTCGAGATCGATCGTTCGCGTCTTAACCTTGGCGAACATCTGGGGAAAATCGGTCTCGTTGCCCCGGACGTTTCTGTTGTCAGTGGAGAACGCCTTCCCGAAGTCGACGTCGAATTTGTTGATCTTGAATCTATTGGCCAGCGGAAAGGTGCTCGTGAAGTCGCCGTCAAAGGCTGCTTTGACATTTTTATTTGTCCCGAAATCAAAGAGCTGATCCGTCCTGGTCTGATGCTGATCCACCCCGTCCTTGTTCGCATTCAGGTCCTCCGTCGTCTCGTCGGCGAACGGGTCCGCTATATTGAAGGGGTCCTCGTAACGATAGTCTCGGAAAGGATCCTCCGTGAAGTCCGACAGCTTCAGCTGCGCCAGCGCTACGCGCGTTTTATCTGTTGGTCTCGACGAGGCGGTCCGATTAGGCGCCGGTTCTGGCTGAAGCAGGTTTTTTGTCACTGGTCAGTTTTGTTTTTACTGAAAAGGTAGAATAGAAGAGAATATCCCGTCGGTCATCGCTTGGCTGCTAGCTAGATTAATAATTTATTCATGCGTTGTATAAAATATGCTGTAATTTTTTTGTTTGTTTGACGTTCGAGTCTAAAAATAATTGACAAGAAAAAATCTTGGGAATCGTTGACGCGACTCGAATATCTTCTACATAAAAGACTCCTGGATCTTCGCCATGGCCATATGTTAGATTATGACGTCAGAGGCGAGAAAGCGTAGATTAAAAATTCTTAGATGAACATTTCGAAATAAGATTCTAAAATAATTCTAAAAACGAGATTGAGAAGTAACTGTAACTTAACTTAATTACATTTTTTTGTAACTAGTAACTAATTTAACAGTTTATTTAAAACTTCGTCTGAAATTTTATGAATTTTTTAATTGAAAAATCGAAATCTCAATTTTTATTCTAAGTAAATAATATTAATTATTGTGTTAGAAGAAGTTATATTAATTTAATATATTTAATATATGTATAAAATTATTAATTTAATATATTATATATATATATTAAATATATTTTTATTTTAAATTTAAAATAGTTGTAATTTATTGCATATAAAATAATATAGCACATAATCAAGTATGTAATATATAATTTAGCAAAGCTTGAAATACATAAGATTATTATAATTAAAATATAATATAGTCAGTGCAAAAAAAGCAACTAAAAAGTAACGATTCGTTACTTTTTAAGTTATTATAACTATAACATGTTATTTTTTAGAGTTGGTAATTGTCAACTTGTAATTAGATACTTTTACAAAATAACTTTCTCAATTCTATCTAAAAATACTTCGAAAACTATCCAACATGGCCGGTGAGGACCCAGAAGCCATAAGCTAAGAGAATAATAATAATATAATTAATGTTTTTCATACAACAATAACATAAATAAACTTGCGACATTATATATAATATAAAGAGAAAGAAAGATAATAAATAAACAAATTAATATAAAGGCAACGTGTGTACTTCAGAAGGCAGCTTAATGGCAGGTAAACTCAAAATTGTGCAGCTTCTACCTAAATATAAAACAAATTAAATACAATTAGAACATATATGATAAATGTTTGTAAAAAAGTCAATAATTATCAATAAAAAACTACGTTTCCAAATGTTTAATGTATATATGGCTATATGTATATATTTTGTGATACTGAAGTTGTGTTTGTTATTCAAGTTTATTACGAAACGAAATTCAATTTTATTGATAATTAAAAAACAATAATTGCCATATTTTATCATAATTTAAATTCAGGTTAAAATACATTTAATTCGATAATTATTTAGTTATATATAAATAGTATTATTTATACCAAATAATATTAATAAAACGTTCTTATCGTAAATAACAAGGATAGAAAGAATATATTGCTGTGAAGAGCCTAATACTTAACAATTCGGCTAAATTGATGTAGACGAGAAAAATATATCGGTTCGAAAAAGTCGGCTGAATCGCGAATTTTTTCGGACCGATATATTTTTCTCGTCTACATCAATTTAGGGGAGTAAAGGGAAGAGGAATTCAAATCTCAATTTAGAGATTGTTCCTCGTCTTAGCGAATTGCTAAGTATTAGACTCTTCACAGCAATATATTCTTTTTATCCTTAGTATTATTTTTATTTCTCTTTTATTAAACTTTCAGCAGAACTATTTTTTACTCATCTATAATCGTCTACAATCATCTTTTTACGTCAATTCCGAACGACCAGATTAAAGAGATTTCCTTAGCAAGATACTGCTACTTTTCTATTATCTGCCGAGAGGTGGCGCTCGAGTTAAATTCTGAAGGTGATTAAAAGTCATCGTATGAATTCTTTAACTTGATTTACATGCTAATGATAGTCCAATCAAACCAAAACATATTTATAGAATTTATTAACAAATATCCATTAGAAGAAAAATCTACGCTTCGCTAGCCGCGTCTGGCTCTTAATAACCCATTTTCCATGATATATCTCTTAATTTTACAAAAAATTGTGCGCGATACTATTAATCAATGTTAAATTCATTTTGTATCAGTATTTATTTTTATACTTATATTTCTAGATTTTGTAGAATTAAATAGAATTAATTATTTAAATAATTTAAGATTTAAATAATTAATTAACTATTAATATATTTATTTTTCATAAATATTCTTCGATGATTGTTTCATATTCTATATTTTTTAATACAATCTCTTTCATATTAATCAGTATTTGTCGATTATCCTTTGAATCATAACTCATGCTCTATTAGCAATGCATGATATTTTATATTAACAAATTTAATATTATAATTTTTCTTTTTTCTCTTGTTTCTGCGATTTTTTCGATTCTTGTTCCAATGATAATGTTTAATTTTGAGTTACTGACCTTAATAATGTTTTGAATAAATCAATATATACAATAATATATATATATATATATATATATATATATATATATATATATATATATATAAGTTTTTTGACTATGAGGGGAACATAAGATAGTATCATTCGTTTGAACTGAACATTTTACAAGATATTTTACATTTTATGCCAAAAAATTGTAAAAAACTTTAAACTTTTATAATTTGAAAAGTACTTCATCAAACACTTTATTAAAGAGGTTTTTGGAAAACCTCTAAATAAGCTATAAAAATATGTAATGAAAAATAACAGGTTCCATTTAAGAAATTGAAGGTGACCTTTACATGACCTTTAAATAATTATACAAGATCAAATCAATAACCATTTTATGTTCCCCTCATAGTCAAAAAACTTTTGTTCGAAACATTTTTTTCCATCTTGTTTACTATACGAGATATTTACGTGCGTTGATTAAAATAGCTCACCCTGTATATACATATTTATTCTATATCAATTTCTGAATTTTTATTAATATTTTGTACAAAAGATACATGAAAAAAAATACTGAATTTGTGTTTATAAAAATTTAAATTTCTAAATATTATTAAAGCGAAACATTGCGACATACGCGTACATTATTTTATGAAAATTAATTAATGGAGTTATACAAAGCTTTTGTTAAAATTATTGTACTTGTTACTCTCACTGTATGTAGTAAATATATAAATATTTGTTTTTAAATTCATAGATATAATTTGTTTGTCATTTATATTGTAATCATATCTACAGAGTATTCGGTAATATTCGTATGCCTGCTCGCATTAATTAATTATTTAGATCGTTAAATAGATAGTGATGAAATATCCTTGATGAAAAATAAGTTTTGAATTATTTTTTTTCTGTAATGTGTGTTTAACAAAATAGGAATTATTTTAACAAATCTACTTATAAAATAGTAATTGATCATCATAGAAAAAAAATTGAGAATTTTTCGATTTATTTTTCATTAAGGAACATTGTTATGTATCTAATAGGCGTAAATTAATTAACGACTTTTGTGTGTATGTGTGTGTCAAATTACTAAACAATATACTAATAAAACTAATAAAAATTCAACAATGTGCTATTATAAAAAAAAAAAAATTACAGCAGAAATAAATACAAAAAACCCAGAAACAAAACACTAAAATCTATTTGAAAATGATAAAACAAATGTTAGATACATACCTTAGAATCGAAATTGGAAAAATCAGCAAATCCGGTTGAGGATGTGAAACTATTATTGTTATCAATCGTCGTTTGCTGAACACTAAATGGATCCGAATTCGCATTCGCAAATGGATCCGGTGTAGGCGAAGGCGTTGGAGGGGCTGGCGCGGCCCTTAACGGACCAGTAGGACCTTGACTAGGTCGTGGCGGGGCTGGTCGCGGAGGTGGTTGCTTCGCCTTCTTCGGTGGAAGAGCAGGACTAGGGCTTTCGGGACGCGTAGGCGCGTGAAGATTCGCAAAAGGATCATCGCCGAATGGATCCTTCGTGTTCTGAACAGAAAATTGAATTAGTGTCTTATTTTGTTTTTTGTTTTCATAAAATAAAAAATATCTATACAGGACGTCCCGGTTTAGAGAAAAATGTTTCAAACACAAATTATAAAATTTCGAGGGGAAAAAACGTTGGCATTAGTAATTTTTTCCTTTTATATAAAAAAAAGTGATACTATTTTAAAAAAACAGAAATGACCTTCAAATGACCTTGAAAATTACTTTGCCCTTGAAATTTGAAAAATTGCAAGGAATTGATTTATATAAAAAAATATATGATGGTTCCATTTAAAAAAAACATAAATAACCTTCAAATGATCTTGAAAACCACTTTTCAATGGCAAAGTCCTTTGAAGGGCATTTGTTTTTTTAATAGAATCAATTTTTACAAATCGATTCCTTGCAATTTGTGGTATAAAAAGTTATAAGTTATAAGATGGCTAAAAAATGAATAGTTTACAAGATATATTTTACATCTCAGTTTAACATAATTTTATATATAAAATATCTCATAAAATATTCAATTTAATCTCAATACTTTGATGCACGTAATAACGAAAGAAATCAATTGGTATAAAGAAAACACCTAGTTGTATGTACAGTACTGTAGCTACTAGTTGCAAATTACATTATGTTAAACTAAAATATAAAATATTTCGTAAACTATTCGTTTTTTAACCATCTTGATAACTTTTTCATGTAAATATTATAAGAAATCAATATAAAAAAATTATAGTAGTTCCATTTTTAAAAAACAAATGACCTTCAAATAACCTTGAAAAAAGTCAATAGCGCCAACTTTTTTCCCTCTCGTAATTTTATAACTTTTGTTCTGAAAAATTTTTCTCTAAAATGCCTTGTTCAAAAAATATTTTGCTGTGTAAGTTAAAATGGGATATTATTCATAGAAATGGCATAACAATTTTACATACTGTCGCAATTACAGGTGTTTTATTTTCGGCTCGCTTTCCGCTACCAAACGGATCAAACGGATCTTGTTTTGTAGCCGCACCAGTATTGTCAAATGCGGTAAAAGGATCCGTTGTGAAATTACCCTATAAATTTTGATTTTTATTAGTAATGTTTACTTGATAAAAATAAGAATAAATATTAATTCTATGAATACCCATTAAACAGGAATAAATATCGTCGTACGAATTACCCATTATTAGAGGAGAACTTACGTTAGATGGCTGTGCAGTGAATGCACTTTCAAATGGATCAGATGTTAATGTGCTAAATGCTTCTTTGGCTTTATTCGTTGCAAAAGGATCTTGATCTCCAAATCCATCTAAAGTAGCAGTTCCGGTTCCATCAGAGAAAGCGTCAGCTTTCGCTTTCTTTATTTCGTCTGTATCTTTTGTTGTTTCGTACCTATTTTTTTACATGTATATAAAAATTGTAATTATAATAGAAATATACATAATCGTAAAAAAGTAGATAAAGGACCCCACACCAAATACATAGGATTGACTTGCTGAATAAAAGATTTAATAGTCTCAAAGCTAAATGTTGGATAATTATTGACAAGTAAAGGTACCCAACTGTCACTCTCCAATTGTAATGAAACTTGGCACACTTATAAAACTATGCAAAATAATAAATACGTATTTTTTTTGTATCAGCGGAAAAGCGATTTTAAGGCAGAAACTCCCCCTTGTATGTGTATAGGGGGTGGGTTACAAATACATTCTTAACAATTTTTTAAAACTTAAAGATATTATATGGTGTTTTTAGGGTTATAGAATTCGAATCTGTCATTACAATTTAAAAATACAAATAGACTGACCAAATATGGCGCCCATATTTTGTGAGTAAAAGACATTTTTTTAACAAAATCCAGACGATGTCAATGAAAATGAACATTTTTTAGTTTTTGAGGCTGCTAAATTAAATTTAAAGTGTAAGACAGGCAATAAGAGCCAAATCGCGGATGACAGTGCGTTATCCCAACGAAACTAAAATTTTTTCGTTAGAATTAAATTGCACAATTTCCTCCGGAAAAATTTCCTCCGACATTTGTCAGACATAGTCATTCTTCATGATTATGATATAAATTTATACCTGCTAAATTAAATTTATTAAAAAATTAGGAAGATATAAACACTTCGATAATGTATATATACTTTAACGAGTTTTGATTAGAAATATCTACTCGTTCATATTAGTTTGGGAATTTACTGGCATAGCTTTTGCAATAGTAATAGTTTTTAAATAGATGTGTTAAATAGATGCACACAGATTTTGTACACCAAGCACATCTCATCACAGCTATGTCACTGCACATTCACACGCTGATGCACAGCTTTTAAAAGCAATAATTTACTGGATTCTCAAATTCAGGTAGTGTGTTTTGTAAATAACCGCTTTTGTACCATGCATATTTTATGAGATTCAGAAATCTAGAAGAAAAAAACTGATTATGAATAATGGATTGAAGCTGAATGATATTGTTTCGCAGGTGTAAATTTATATTATAATCATGGAGAACGACTATGTCTGAAAAATGTCGGAGGAAATTTTTCCATGGCCTGAAGAAAAAAATACATCGAGTGGTTGGATTTTACTTGTTGTGCCTGCAGGTATAGTCAGAATTTTAGGCATTCTATTGGTTTCCGTGACTTCTTCGAATGTTTTAGAATTCTGACCACTTCAGTACTTGTTTATGTAAGTTAACTTGAGTTATTACTGAAGTGGTCAGAATTCTAAAACATTCAAAGAAATCACGGAAACAAATAAAATGCCTAAAATTTTGACTATACCTGCAAGCACAACAGGTAAAATCCAACCATTCAATGTATTTTTCTTCTAGCCATGGAAAAATTTCCTCCGACATTTGTCAGACATAGTCGTTCTTCATGATTATGATATAAATTTACACCTGCGAAACAATATCATTCAGCTTCAATCTATCATCTATAATCAGTTTTCTTCCCCTAGATTTCTAAGTCTCATAAAATATGCATGGTACAAAAGCTGTTATTTACAAAACACACTACCTGAATTTGAGAATCCAGTAGATTGCTTTAAAAACTATGGACCAGCATGTGACTTGTGTAGTGACATAGCTGTGATGAGATGTGCTTGATGTACAAAATCTTTGTGCATGACATCTATTTAAAAGCTATCACTATTGCAAAAGCTACTGCCAGTAAATTCCCAAACTAATATGAACGAGTAGATATTTTTAATAAAAACTCGTCAAAGTATACATTATCGAAATGTTTGTATCTTTTTAATTTTTTAATAAATTTAATTTAGCAGCCTCGAAAACTAAAAAATGTCCATTTTCATTGACATCGTCTCAATTTCATTAAAAAAATTTTTACTCACAAAGTATGAATATCATATTTAATCAGCCTATTTATATTTTTAAATTATAATGACAGATTCGAATTCTATAACCTTAAAAACCCCATATACTTCCAAGTTTAAAAAAAATCGTTAAGAATGTGTTTATAACGTGTAAACCACCCCATGTACACCTACAAGGGGGTATTTTTGCCCTTAAAATCGCTTCTCCGCCGATACAAAAAAATACGTGTCTATTATTTTGCAAGTGTATATAGTTTTACAAGTGTGCCAAGTTTCATTACAATCCGAGAGTGACAGTTGGATACCTTTAATTGTCAGTAACTATCTAACTAGCTTAAGTAACTATCTAACTAGCTCTAATTTAGCTTTGAGACTATTAAATCTTTTATTAGTCAAGTCCTAAGCTACAACATATAAAAAAAGCAGCCAATTTAGCCGAAAAGCAAAATATCTCCTATGTATTTGTATGTATTTGAAAAGTTTGGAAAATGGCAAGGAATCGATTTATATAAAAACATATAATGGTTTCATTAAAAAAAAAACAAATGACCTTTAAATGATCTTGAAAACTACTTTTCAATGGCAAAGTAGTTTTCAAGGTCATTTATGTTTTTTTAAATAGAACCGCCATATATATGTAAAAACTATGTAAAAATAAAAATTATCCTATGCATTTTGCGGGAATGCGGAAGTCCTTGATGAAAATGAAACACAATACCCACTCTATATCTTCGATCTCGGGTACAAATCGTAGACTAGTATCAGGTACAAGATCAGGATTTCCCGAAGCAAGTGCAGAATCATAAAGTGCGATGACATCGCTCATTTGACGTTGCTGCTCCTGCAGATCAGTGATCTTCGCCTTCGCCTGACAGATCTCTAACTGAGTGTCCTGCAACTTTTTCGTCAGCTCGTTCAGTTGGTCCCTGTTTTTATTCTGTTGCTGTTCCAATTGCTGTTCCTCTTGCCGCAATCCCTCAAGTTCTTGCCTCTTAAGGTTCAACTCATCTTCTTGAACTTTTAAAACCAACTCCTGCTCTTCAGCTTGTTGACGGAGCTTGTCGACCTTATAAAGATTATTACTCATAAAAAATTCTTTCAATTTTTTTTTGTAAATTCAATGTATAAAACATATAAAAACTTGTAGTAATGATGATAATAATAATGATAATGATAATGATAATGATAATGATAATGATAATGATAATGATAATGATAATGATAATGATAATGATAATAATGATAATGATAATGATAATGATGAATAATGATAATAATAATAATAATAATAATAATAATAATAATAATAATAATAATAATAATAATAATAATAATAATAATAATAATAATAATCTTAACTGCAAAATGCTTCCGAATGGATGCCGCGTGGTTAAACAGCATAATACCGACGTTTCGCAAACGTTGCAGTTTGCATCTTCAGGGCTGAAAGCTCCGATATTGAGCCTTCTTGGGTTGTGATCCTTATATATATTATGGGAGGTTTTTCATCTACACAATATAATAAGGATCACAACCCAAGAAGGCTCAGTATCAAAGCTCTCAGCCGTGAAGATGCAAACTGCAACGTTTGCGAAACGTAGGCATTACGCTGTTCAACCACACGGCATCCATCTTGAAGCCTTTTGCCTTAGATGATTTCAATGGCGGCGAAAGTTTCAAAAGTAGAATATTCTTAACTCATATGCTTTTGTGTGTATGTAATATGTTTTAGTATATGGTCAAAATATTTTTGTATACAATTTATATACGATTTATATATATTCTTACGATTTTATATATATTTATACAATCATAATAAAATGAAAATAAAAATGATATAAAAATATATATATTTCGATATTAAATTATTTATAATTACGTTTTATTTACTTGAGTATATTAAAAGATAAAGTGCAACAACTATTCATGCATGCCTGCAAAGCACTAATAATGCATTAGCGTTATCTATATATGTTTCGTATTATAACAGTATCATTTTTATGCATATAAAAAATGTCAATTTTATTTTCTTTGTATCTTTTATATACCTTTTTCAGTTCTTCCTGTATCTTCTCTTCGATTTCACTCAAATCTCTATCTATTTCAGCCTTCTACCAGCCAAACAACATAATGAAACATAATAAAACAAAATCATAAAAAAACGAAAAAACGAAAAAACGATATAAAATAAATAAATATTCAATGCAATATGCTCTTTTTCGTATGATTTTTTCTTCTCTTCTTCTTTTCAAGCTTATCACTCAATTTGATAATTAATCATAATTATGTAAGATATGTTGATTATTAATTTATATTTGCGCATATAAACCAGTATTTCATTTATAACATGTAGAAATACATTATTACAAAAATAAAAATTTATAATTATAAAAAATAATAAATAAATTATAGAATAAATAATAAAATAAATATAACCATTTTAATAATTTTTGTAAGTACTGAGTACTTATATGTATAATGTGATCTATTATGCTTATATAAGTATATCAACAAAACATATTGGCATGTGCAAAGTGCAATTTTCTGATCTATTTATTGTATATATTATTAGTTTAACACATAAAAAAGCAATATACAAGATATCCCATTTTAATTAAAAAGTTTCGAGAAAGAAAAATGTTGATAATCTTGAATTTTAATTAGGATCATTTTTCAAGGTCATTTAAATTCAATCTAGTTTTAAATGGAACCATCTTGATTTTTTTATATAAATCGATGTCTCAGAAAATTTGGCATAAAAATGGCTAAAAAGTAAATAGTTTACGAAATATTTTATACTATAATTTGATTTTATATAAACTATAAAACCTCATAAACTATTCAATTTTTGACTAACTCACCTTTATAATTTTTTAAGGTGGTCTTATTTAAAAAAAAGTAGATTGATTTTCAAATAATCTTAAAAAGAGTTAAAATAAAATAAATAAAAAAATGAAATTAAACAATTCAAAATTTTCAACTTATTATTCTCTTGAAATCTCTTGAACTTTTTCCATTAGAAATATTTTCTCACAAGCAGCCATTTCGGAGATATTCGATTACATATAAAATTAAAATAGAACATCTTATGTATAAACAACAACTGCATATGCACTATACAAGTATAGTTGTGCACGGTGAAAAGCGCACATTCATTCTAAGCAAGCTAATAATAATCGATATACTTTACCAAAATGTTTTGTTTACCTGCGCTTTCAAGTCATTTAATCTCTTCTGCGCCTCACCCTTTTGATTTCCCAGCTGTTTCAAGGTCGCCGCAAGTGTGTCCAATTCACTTTGAAGACTCTTGATCTCTCCGTTCTTTATCTTAATATCTGCCTCCTTTTGCGCTATATCCTGTTCCATATTTTGCCTTTCGCGCACAAGCTCTGCTATATCTTTACTTATCATATCTAGCTCTGGATTTGAGTAACCTGATATGTTATTGTTTTCCTGCAATAAATAAAAACATGTTATCGAATATTATCTAGAGTTCTTGATTAACTGTCAGGGAAAGAATAGTTTTTGTTTTTATTTAAAAATAGCACATCTAAGAATTTTCAGCGTGTGACATCACAATCTAACATGGCCGCAGCGAGAACCCAGGAGTCCTAATATTTAATTATTAATTAAGATACAAATTGCAAAGATTTCAGAAAATTAACTTAATTCAAATTATGATCTTAAGTGTATGATTCTTTAAGTATGATTCTTAAGTATGATTCTTTAATTGTAATAATCCACGAGTTGTTGATTAATAATTAAAATAATAATTTTACATAGATAAATTAAAATGTAATTATATTATTTATATTAAATTAGAATTTGTGTCGTTAATTCTTTTAAAATTTATAACAAATAACAAAAAATTTTGATTTTTATATAGAAACATAGTTTTGGTAATTACAATTGATGACAAATAAACATAAAAATTAATAATACTTTAATGTAAAAATAATACGTTTATAACTTATAAAAACCAATAATGGTATTCAAAGATTAAAAAAATTCAACTTAGAGAAAAAAGTTAATAAGTTTAAGGTCAAAATAACTAGTTAAAAATTAATAAATTTAAGAGTTTAATAAATTTGAAATCTTAACTAAGCTAAGTTAAAAGTTATTAACTTTTTAACTTTTTTTTAACTTTTAATTAATTAACTAGTTATTACCCAACACTAGTATTATATTAGCCACATAAATATAAAAAAAATCGATGTTTTATTATCACGAATAACTTCACAATGACTTTGCAAAATAGCAAATATGAAAATATACGTATTGTCTGTGTTAATTTGCTATTTAAGTAACGTATCTTTAATTTTACAACGACCAAATTTATTAAATTTAGATAAAGAGTTACGAAAAAAGATTAGTGATATATTTCATGGCAAACAAAGTAAGTACTTTAATATAATTTTATGTACATAAATAATTTAAAACATGTATATATATAATTTTTTGTACATAATTCTGTATATAATTTTTTAAATATATATATGTATATAATTTTCTGTAAATCAGGTAGTAAAATTTTTCTAAATATCGATGAATATGAATATCCAAGAACTAACGAATCTTTAAAACGATTACATAAACAACAATGGCTAAATTATTATAAATGTTTGAAGGAAACATATGCAAATATAGGGAACGAGAGGATCATCTATCCGAATGCACTCGTAGCATTAGAAGGAACATCCATAACGTACTCTCAAAGAAGATTTATTCAGGATAATTCACGTAACGATCGCCACGATTTTTGGGACATTTCCACCAGTTTAAAAAAAGTTTATACAGTGAAAATCAATCTGCTTTACACAAGCTTTAACATACAATAAAAATTTTTTTTTTAATTTTTTTATAAACAAATTAATGTCCTTGAATTTTTTTAATGGAACTATCATAATTTTTAAATAAATTGATTCCTCTCAATATTCTGCATAAAAAATTATAAGGATAAGATGGTCAAAAAGTGAATGGTTTACGAAATATTTTATATTTTAATCTTATAAAGGTGGTTCTCATAACGATCGCCACAATTTTTAGAACACTTACAATAATCTGACAAAACATGTCATTAATCAGAAATTTACCAATTTGTAACCGTCAACAAATTTAACAATTTAATAATTTAATGATTGTTTACAATTTTACTTTTTATGTTACGATTCAATTCAAAATCAACAATTTTAAAGCTTCTACAACGTAATTCTTTGGTTCGAGAAAGTTCACTAAAACCAGTTCTAACGGCGTTGTTATCATTAGTAACTGGCCTAGTTACGATGGTAAATTTCTGATTAATGACATTTTTTGTCAGATTATTGTAAGTGCTCTAAAAATCGTGGTAATCGTTACGAAAACCACTTTTATAAGATCAAAATATAAAATATCTCGTAAACCATTTACTTTTTGACCATCTTGATAATTTTTTATGCAGAATATTGTGAGGAATCTATTTATGTAAAAAAATATGATGGTTCCATTTAAAAAATTCAAGGTAACATTAATTTGTTTATATAAATAATTTTTTTTAAATTTTTTATTGCATGTTAAAGCTTGCATAAAGCAGATTGATTTTCACTGTATAAACTTTTTTTAAACTGGTGAAAATGTCCGAAAAATCGTGGTAACCGTTACGTGAACCACCCTGTATATAATAGATAATTAACATTGAATAAATATTTATAATAAATAATAATGCAGGATTCCATTTTAATGTCCCACCCCACACAAATAACTTTTTCATTTTTGATTGTAGAAGAAAATGTTTTAGACAAAAGTTGGACATAAGATGGTGCCATTAGTTTGACCTTGAATAGTTGCTCAAAGGTCACGTAAAGGTCACCTTTAATTTCTTAAATATTTTCTTCTACAATCAAAAATAAAAGTCATTTGGGGTGGGACATTAAAATGGGACTTCCTGTATACGAGACAAAACTAAAGACTTTACTACTGATATAATTTACAGTATAAAGTGTCAAATTTGCATCGCACCTGCAGAGGTGCGCATGGCTAATTTGCTAAAGTGGTATTTCAATAGCAGCATTACAAGTGCAATTGTCAAAGATATAGTACAAGATGTCAATAACATTTTCAATTCACCAGACAACCAATACATCGTCATGCATAACGTCAAGGTATAAATTTAAGGCATGTACAAGTGTGATGTACAAATACGATGGTGCAAAAACAAGATCCCTTCTTTAAAGTCAGAGCAAGAGGGAGTGTATTGGTGTGAAATGGGAGATACTGTGGGATCGGCTCATCATTTACATGTCGACAGCAGGACGGAGGATCTACATTCAAATATCACAGAAGCAGCGTCGATCGAAATGTTAAATTACAAACTAAAGGTTTACACTGTTTGGACAAGTTGGAATCCCTGCTCTGTGTGTGATGCGGTTGGAATCAAGCTTCGATATGGTTACTGTACTATTTCCCTTTCAGAAACATCAGCGAATGAAATATATTTCGTCAACGAAAGTACATTGTTAATTAACAAATATACAGGGTGTTCCATTTCGAAAAATTCACGCAAATTTTATCTTTTGAATGCATTTTGGAGAACAAAATTTATAGGATTTTGAGAGGAAAAAAAATGGCGATACTGACTTTTTCCTAAAGGACGATTTTCAAAGTCACTTGAAGGTCATTTAAAGGTCATTTTTGTTTTTTTTTTAATAAAACTACTTTAATTTTTTTATATAAATCGATTTTTTTCGAGGGAAAGAAGTTGACGATGCTGACTTTTCCCTAAAAGACGATTTTCAAGGTCATTTGAAGGTTATTTTTGTTGTATTTTTTAAATAGAATTATTTTAATTTTTTTATATAAAGCGATTCTTTGTAATTTTTGACATAAAAAGTTATAAGATTAAGATGACCAAAAAGTGAATAGTTTATAAGATATTTTATATTTTAGTTTTATACATAATTTTACATAAATTGTGAAATATATCATAAAATAGGAACGATATATTAAATTCGACCCAAACTAGCCAAAGAAACTTTTTATTTTATTTCCACAACGTTTCGACTATCTGTTTTTGGTCCTTTTCAAGTGAAAAACTAGAATGATACAATTAATTAAGATTAATACAGATAAACATTTTGATGTTAAACGCAAAAATTAAAATTTACATACTTTCTTAATAAAAGCGCAGTTAGTTGACACTGTTGTCATTATTAAACAATGTGATTATATCGGAATTTTTTTTTAAACATTTGAAAAAACTTCTGAAAGAACTTTTGAAAGATTGAAACCACATCTTATCGTTTAGGATCGTCAAAAACTGAGTATGTAGAGTTTATACGACCTTTATAATTTTGTCATAGATGTTTAAATTCTGTGTCTTTAAGTAGGTTAACTGTATTGTTAACTTTTTTGATAAAAAACATCTCTGCGATTTCTCTCTTTCTAACATGTTTTTCATTATGTAATAATGAATTATGTATTTCATTATGTAATCAATTTATATAAAAAAAATTAAGGCTCCATTTAAAAAACATAAATGACCTTCAAATGACCTTGAAACTCGCCCTTTAAAGAAAAAATTCTATAACTTTTCTTTAAAACAATTTTTCTTTAAAATGCTTTTATCAAAGGTAATTTGTGTGAACTTTTTAAAATGGGACCCTCTGAAGAAAATGTGAAAGTAAATAAAAAGAGAAAATTTTTTCGCTCTTTTATACTAATTTTACTTTAAGCTGAAAAATATGAACAGAATCAGACGCATGAGGATATTCAAACGACATTAGTAAATTTAAACTCGGAAGTTCAATTAAAAACAGCATTATTGTTATTTAAAAATAAATTACCATGCAAATCGAGTCTTGTGCCAAAAAAAATACAATTAATGTCGATTATTAAGAATAGAAGCACTAAAATTATGAGACGCTACTGCAAGGTATTTGCATTAAATTATTTATTAAAACTCCTGGTTCTTTCTCCTAAACTGTATTGAAATGTAATATATATATATATATATATATATATATATATACGTTCCCCTCATAGTAAAAATCTTTTGTTTGATATTTTTTTCCATCTTGTTTATATATATATATATATATTATATGCGTTGATAATATGACTCACCCTGTGTGTGTTGCGTGCGTGCGTGCGTGCGTGCGTGCGTGCGTGCGTGCGTGCGTGCGTGCGTGCGTGCGTGCGTGCGTGCGTGCGTGCGTGCGTGCGTGCGTGCGTGCGTGCGTGCGTGCGTGCGTGCGTGCGTGCGTGCGTGCGTGCGTGCGTGCGTGCGTGCGTGCGTGCGTGCGTGCGTGCGTGCGTGCGTGCGTGCGTGCGTGCGTGCGTGCGTGCGTGCGTGCGTGCGTGCGTGCGTGCGTGCGTGCGTGCGTGCGTGCGTGCGTGCGTGCGTGCGTGCGTGCGTGCGTGCGTGCGTGCGTGCGTGCGTGCGTGCGTGCGTGCGTGCGTGCGTGCGTGCGTGCGTGCGTGCGTGCGTGCGTGCGTGCGTGTGTGTGTGTGTGTCTGTGTGTGTGTGTGTAATATTATATACAGGGTGTCCCATAATTCGCGAACCACCGCGAATGGTCAGATAGAGCGTGTTAAACTGAATAGAAAAGTCCTGTATCATTTTGCGATATTCGCAATAATTATTGAGTTATTAACTAAAATATCTAAACGAATGAGCGAGTAGAAAGCGGTAGGCCGGACTCGGTGTGCATGTCAAATGACTTATTTGTTATATGCCGCTTAGTATCAAAAGTATCATCTTACTTTTCGGCGCCACTACATTGGTCGCCGCTCGCTGCATGACGCCGCCTCTCGATCAAATAATGCTTTCTACCTGCTTATTCGTTTAGATATTTTAATAAATAACTCAATAATTATTGCGAATATCGCAAAATGATACAGGATTTTTCTATTTAGTTTAACACGCTCTATCTGCCCATTCGCGGTGGTTCGCGAATTATGGGACACCCTGTATATATGTTATATTTATATATACATATATATAATGTATGAATTTTTTTCTTTACATGTCAAGAAAAAAAAATAATTTCTTTACATGTCATCATTCATGTTGAGTAGTAAATTAATAAAACGTGTCAAAAAACTTTTTTAATTTACATAAATAAATACAATTTACATGTGTTACAGATTTACAATAAAATCTTTTATGATAAAATTTATTTGTGATAAAAAAATTTTTTTAATAAAATTAAAAATTAAAAATTTGTTATCCAATTCATAAATCGAGAAGAGGAAAAATTTTCACTCTTTAGAATATTTTATCAAATAAAATTATATATTATAAATAAAAAGTAGTATAGAAAAAACTTTTTTAGTATAAAAGGAAAGTATTATGCAACATGCAAGGAAAAAATGTTTTCTTGATTGATGTTATTAATTAACATGATTACAATAAGGAACCAGAAACTTTGATAAAAATTCAATAAATATAAATAAAATACATTTATTCTTATGTAGAAAAAATGCCATAGTAACGTGATATTTGAAGTGCGCGATGAAAGGGGTAACATTCTTGAAAGTGCGAACAATAGTGCCGGTATATATTCTATAATTCAAGGAATGCCTCAATCATTACCATCAATCACACATAATGTAATTTATGAAAAATATAAGAAAAGGCTCAAACTCATCTGTCCAGGGTAATATAAAACTTACATGTCAATATAATATAAAAACTCACATTATAAAAATTGTTCAATCATGATAAGAATAAAAAATATTTAATTTTATTAATACTTTAGAAATCTGAATACGGATATCCCAATTGTTTGGCGGATTGGTGATAAAGCAATAATTCCATCTCGTATCAAACTTCAATCAAATGGAAAAATTTATATTAATTCCCAGTTACATATAGTCTTTGAATCGTTAAAGTTTGACGACGCTAATATATATAGGTAAATCAAATTTAAAATTCTCCCAATAAAGAGCCAGCTGTAAATAATGATGCATTTTTGGGAAAATTAATTTTCCACAATTTAAGTTTTTTCTTAAATATTGTATCTGTATAAAAATTATTAATAAAATCTGTAGACAATAGTAAAAAATTTCTTTCCATTATTAGTTGCTGGCAAAATAATGAAATTATTGGAATAATCAAATTGAATGTGACTGGAGAAGTAGAAGTCAAAGTAAATCACTATATTATTTTAATTGGCGCTGTCCTCATAATTATTGTAGTTTTGATAATGTTCTGGAGAGCGTTCAAAGGACGGATGCGATACACAATGCATTAAAATTGTGTAACGATGCAAATTAAACCACTCAATAATTTGTAAAATGTACAAACATACACGCGCACACACACACACAGAAATAATTAATAAATATTATTGTTAAATAAAATATTTGAATAACTTACCACAATGGTTTCTCCAACTTTTCGCATAGAAGGTGGTATCATTTCAGGAGTTAAACTCATCGGAGAGTCCATGCCATTGAGCTTTTGCTTAATAAACCACATAGCTAAGGCAAATTGTTCCTTATTCAGCTTTCCGCTTTGAGAAATATCACATAAACTCCTGTAAATTCGATATTAAATACATCTCTATTATGATCATCATTATTAATTTTCGACAAATTGTTATAGAACTTCGCACTTTTTCTCTCACCATATATGCGCTAATACAGTATTCGGAAGTCCACTTTGTAGGAAGACGTCTTTGATTTCCAAGCCAGAGACAAATCCATCCCTATCTAGATCAGCTTGTAAAAACAACTTCTCCGCCACTATTTGATCCTCGATCGAAACAACCCATTGCCGTGCGCCTGTCTGTAAATATGTAAAAGATTTTAGAAATGTAACGTGTTTTTTATTTTTAAATTAAACAGAGTGTATACTCAAATCTTAGAAATAAATTTCCTGAGGATTTCATGATTTTCCAAGTACTTTTGTTCAAAATTCCAAGTAAAATTGAAGTATTTTAATAATATTTAGAATACAATTTTGAAATAAGTTTACATGTTATACATAATTTTTTAACATAAATGAAGTATTTTTTTAATAAAATAATGTAATATAATATTATATTAAAATATAATATATTTTAATATATACTTTATATAAAACTAATAAATTTTATATTCTTTAAAACTATATTTTAAAATCAAAGGGGCATTTTTTTTTTAATTCCCTAAGTTCAAATCAAATTCTATGATAATTCCAGGATTTTTCAAAGTAAAAAACAAAATTTCCTGAAAATTCTAGATTTTCCATTTTTCCAAGGAGTATACACCCTAATTAAAATCCAAGAGAGATAAATACTTTTATAGTGTCTAATCCAGTCAGGTTCTTTACAGCCGTCGCATTTGGTAAAGGTGGGATTGGTGGTGGTTGCGAGGATGGTGATGCTGAAGCTACAATGCCCATTGGTACAGGAGATTTAGCCTTAGGAATCTCTTTTCTCTTACCGGGTGGCATTAATTCTGGTGGAAGTACACTTGGTATCGCATATTTTTCCAATGCTTTATATACAAGATGCATGGCCTGTATAATAACAATCAGAAATTACCTTAATAAGAAATCGATCAATCACAGTCAAGTATGAGAATATAGGAAAAAAGATGTAACATTGAATATAAGTAATATTTATCCTTATTTGATATAAAAACTCAGCAATATTTGCTATAGAAAATGAACAATACAACAATACAGAAAGTACATTTTTATATAAAAAGTATATTCCAATATATACAACAAAAAATCAATAATTGCTCAAATAAATTACACTTTGAAATAATACTACATAAAATAGGCAAAAATTATTTAGTCCATATGTAAAAAATGTTTAGTTAATTCCAATAATTTTAGAACATTATTAGCGACATACTTACAACTACAAATTCATGTCTATCCAGCATACCATCCTTGTCCATATCTGCCAAGTCCCAAATTTTTCCAAGAGTATCTAAAGGAAGTTTGCTATCCATAAGAACACCTTTTACTTTATTTCCAGAAATATATCCATTAGATGGCTGTAAGCTATCAAAAAGTTGATCGTATTTTGCCCGTTCTGTAGGATTAATCGACCAATCTCCATTGTTGATAGATTTTATCACTGGTAGAGCGTTAGTAATAGTTTTCTGAGGAATAACTGGAATGTCTCCCTGATAAAGAAAAAATATCCTATATATAGCATTTATGCCAGTTAAATAACCAACATGTAATTTCCAGCAGGTAAATTTACCATTTTTGGTGGCGGCAATTCAAGACTTAAATTAGACATATTCAAGTCCTTTCCTGTCTGAGCTAATGCGCACAGTTTTAAAGCTACAAAGAGGCCAGACTTATCTAAGAAACCACGTGATTGTGGATCCGCCATGTCCCATATTTTGCTGAGAATCACATCGCTGAGCTGAGATTTCTTTAGAAATCTAGCAGCATCCATTGCTTCGATTTGTCCATATCCATTCGGATCAACCTACAAGCAATAAATGATATTTTTATATAATTGTAATTGCTTGCTACATCTTACAAAAATAATTTGTTCTTTTATTATAGATTATATACCTGATTGTAATAAGCTTCGTAGATCGCACTATGGCTTCCAGCCACCTGTAAAAGAATGGCATTCATATTTTCTGATTAATCTATTTGTATCAGAAAATAAAACTAAATAATAAATAATAAATAAATAAAATAATAAATAATGTATACAAATAATTCAATAAGAAAATAACAGAATAGCAAAAAATTTATTATTAATTTATCAATTTTATATATTAAGTTCACAAATTAGTTATATTTATTATAAATTATCATTGTACTTATAAAAATTTCAAGCAATTTATTATTTATATTAAATGTTTATTTTTTTTTGTCAAATAAGATCAATGAAAAAAATAAAATAAAAAAAATCGCGCATAATATTGGAATATTTTTTTCCGGGTCAGTAACAATTTATTGTAGATATATGTAAAATGATATACAACTCCGCCATCAAATCGGAGCCAAGACATCCTGATAAAAAGAGCGAAAATTTAGCGACAAGGGAACGCGATAATTTGGCGCAGATTATGAAAAAATTTCGGGCAAGAAACCTTTTCGGTGCGCGCACGAATATTATTACGGAATAACGATACGTCTCCCGTAAAATCCATGAAAATGACAAATGTACCTGCGTAGGTGACGGTAGGGCGGCCATGCTTGCATTAAACACTCGGCTTAACCAATCAGACACCCAATCAATAGCATATGATTTTCAACTACTTCATTAAGCATATCACGAATATTTTATATCACCGGTATTTTTTTCGAATTATTATTATTGTTGTTATTATCACGCTATTTCGATCATGGATTCGTGGGTCGACGATTTTGCGTGCGACCGGTTAGAAGAATTTATTACGAAAATATCTTATACAATGGACAGAAGCGGAAACGAGAACGGGCAGACTCCAAACTCCAAACTCCTAACTAGATGTCGAAGTCCTCTCGCGGTGACAAGGAGAAACTCCGAATTTACCGACTTAAAAAAATTAATTCCCTATTTCGAGAAGACTAAGGTATCGACACAGGGTGCGTTCCGTTATGCACTGCAAGTACTGGCACTATGACGTCATGCAAGTGTACTGTTGACAGCGTTCCTTTTTAATTTTGTGCACTTTGAAGCTACTGCAAAATAGTAAAACGGAACGCACTACATTACGCTTTCAGCAGACTTTTAACTAACCTTTTTCGCTAATAATCATCGAATGAAAAATTGGTGAAATGGATAATACCATTATTGCATTAATTACATATAATTTAATCGAGAATATATATGATTCGAGTGAGTCATCAAGTGAAAGCGATTTGGAAATGGAATTAATAAATGAAATGAGACGACAAATTAAAATACCTAGAATAAAATGTAAAAATTACGTTAAAAATATTGTATCATTATATTCAGATATGGAATTTAAAAGTTAGTTCCATCGTACACATGGAGGTAGCCATCTTGATTACTGCGAGTGCTTTACCTCGCCGGTTGCAGTAATCGCAACAGGAAATAACGTCAAAATTAATGACGTCATATACTCATGATAGTACTTTCGCAGTGCACTGCTATCTATATCGGAACGCTATTGGTAGTACTGTCAGTACTTGCAGTGCATAACGGAACGCACCCACAGATTAATAGCAGAGAGAAAGATGAGAGCGGCCAGGCCGGCGTTTTGGCTGTTACCGTTTTTACGGGACTGCTTGAAGCGCCCCTCGCACCCGTTTTTAATATCGGAACTAACTGCACACCCATTTTCTGGCAGGGTCGATAAAGTTTGTATTTGGTGCGAGTCCGTGCTACGCCCATAATTTTCGTGTTAACACAGTATCACGTATTCATTCTGTATATGTGCGATCTTTTCTCTTTATTTATATATATATATATATATATATATTTATATAATTTGTATAAAAACTAAAATATAATTATTAAAATATATATATATATGTATATGTGTAATGAAATATATAAATCTTATTTTAATTAAAATAAAAAGAACGATTAATTGTTCGACCACCTGGATTTTGGAATGTAATTTTTAATATATATTATATTATATTTAATATTTATCGCCGCTTCTATTAATATGAAGTGCAATGTCAACGTGCAATAATGTACAATTATTTAAAGTTTCCATGCCTAATGTATCATGCCGGTATAAAAGAACGTCAAGTAGCATGCGTAGCCGAGCAACTAAGATGACGAGCTGAAATCGTGGACATTTCAAGTTCAAACCCCTGCCTTTTTCAGATTTTTTTTTCACTTTTTTCAAATAAGTTATTATGTGTATAAATGTGTAATAATCAATATATCATTATTTGATAATTTTTTTTGTAATGGAACAAAATAAATTATTTTTTAATTCTGCAAGGAATTTAATTATTAATGCAAACGCCCACACACATAATTTAGATATTCAATTTTTTTTAGTTCAAATGTTTCTTGCAATCTGTATACGACAATCAGTCCACTCGCTGTGCCACAGATTGCATCGCATAATACGCTCAGAGTTATAATACGATAGAGATCGCTTTACGCTGTTTTTCCTTGAAATAAATAAATTTTACGTGTTGTGTACGCGTGTTTAGTATATTTGTTTCTTTCATATTAATTTTAACTATAATTAGTTTTTTAATTAAGATTATTTTAGTGTTAGTTGTTTATTTGTTAGTGTCCTGTTTTCTTTAATTTCGCATTTTTTAATTTTCTTTTTTTTTGGTGTTGGTGCTAATTATTATTTTTATTTTACAATGTCGAGTAAACACCGGTTTTACGATAAATGTGTGTATTTAAATTGCACAAATATTAGGACAAAAGATGGAAAACGTTTATTTCGATTTCCATTACAAACGGGTGCGAGACATGATTTATGGTTACGCAATAGTGGTGAGTTTATAAAATTGATTTACTTATTTATATCAATATATAATATATATTGATATGATATATGAAACAAATATATATATATATTCTTTGTTTTTTTTAATAAAATATGTCAGATATTATGTATGTTTACGTATGGATTACGTTGAAGTGTTTCTTTGCCGCGTTTTTCTGATCTCGCCGAACGGTTCGCGAATCCTGTGCGAATAAAAAACGATGCGCGTGTGTGTGTGCGTGCGATTGTGATGATCAGTTTCAGTTCGTCTTCAACGCTTGACGAGAGAAGAGGTCCCGAACTGCTGTAAGTTTATAAAAACATATTTTTGTATAACACATTAGAACGATTTTATATTATTTTTTTTGTCTAGAAAACGTTATATTAATAACCGTTATGAAAACGATCTCGACGACGGCGACATGCCGGTCGTCGCCGTCGTCGAGATCGTTTTCATAACGGTTATTAATATAACGTTTTCTAGACAAAAAAAATAATATAAAATCGTTCTAATGTGTTATACAAAAATATGTTTTTATAAACTTACAGCAGTTCGGGACCTCTTCTCTCGTCAAGCGTTGAAGACGAACTGAAACTGATCATCACAATCGCACGCACACACACACGCGCATCGTTTTTTATTCGCACAGGATTCGCGAACCGTTCGGCGAGATCAGAAAAACGCGGCAAAGAAACACTTCAACGTAATCCATACGTAAACATACATAATATCTGACATATTTTATTAAAAAAAACAAAGAATATATATATATATTTGTTTCATATATCATATCAATATATATTATATATTGATATAAATAAGTAAATCAATTTTATAAACTCACCACTATTGCGTAACCATAAATCATGTCTCGCACCCGTTTGTAATGGAAATCGAAATAAACGTTTTCCATCTTTTGTCCTAATATTTGTGCAATTTAAATACACACATTTATCGTAAAACCGGTGTTTACTCGACATTGTAAAATAAAAATAATAATTAGCACCAACACCAAAAAAAAAGAAAATTAAAAAATGCGAAATTAAAGAAAACAGGACACTAACAAATAAACAACTAACACTAAAATAATCTTAATTAAAAAACTAATTATAGTTAAAATTAATATGAAAGAAACAAATATACTAAACACGCGTACACAACACGTAAAATTTATTTATTTCAAGGAAAAACAGCGTAAAGCGATCTCTATCGTATTATAACTCTGAGCGTATTATGCGATGCAATCTGTGGCACAGCGAGTGGACTGATTGTCGTATACAGATTGCAAGAAACATTTGAACTAAAAAAAATTGAATATCTAAATTATGTGTGTGGGCGTTTGCATTAATAATTAAATTCCTTGCAGAATTAAAAAATAATTTATTTTGTTCCATTACAAAAAAAATTATCAAATAATGATATATTGATTATTACACATTTATACACATAATAACTTATTTGAAAAAAGTGAAAAAAAAATCTGAAAAAGGCAGGGGTTTGAACTTGAAATGTCCACGATTTCAGCTCGTCATCTTAGTTGCTCGGCTACGCATGCTACTTGACGTTCTTTTATACCGGCATGATACATTAGGCATGGAAACTTTAAATAATTGTACATTATTGCACGTTGACATTGCACTTCATATTAATAGAAGCGGCGATAAATATTAAATATAATATAATATATATTAAAAATTACATTCCAAAATCCAGGTGGTCGAACAATTAATCGTTCTTTTTATTTTAATTAAAATAAGATTTATATATTTCATTACACATATACATATATATATATATTTTAATAATTATATTTTAGTTTTTATACAAATTATATAAATACATATATATATATATATATATAAATAAAGAGAAAAGATCGCACATATACAGAATGAATACGTGATACTGTGTTAACACGAAAATTATGGGCGTAGCACGGACTCGCACCAAATACAAACTTTATCGACCCTGCCAGAAAATGGGTGTGCAGTTAGTTCCGATATTAAAAACGGGTGCGAGGGGCGCTTCAAGCAGTCCCGTAAAAACGGTAACAGCCAAAACGCCGGCCTGGCCGCTCTCATCTTTCTCTCTGGTTCAAGTCTACGAAATTTAGCACGGACTCGAACCAGGGGCAAAGTGTGTCGGTAAGGGGCAAAGTCTATCGCACGAAGATGGCGGTCTCTTCTTTAGGCAGGCCTTTGGCGATCTGTCTATTAATCTGTGGTATTGAGTAGCTCAAACGGGAATGCCAAAGGTCTACTTTTACCGGCCGAACCGATTATATTTTGTCACAACCAAGAAGTTTCTATTGCGTTAAGGGTCGACAGGTCGGTCGGCCAAACTCCGAATTGATGTTGGAGACCTCGCGCGGTGACAACGCGAAACTCCGATTTCAATGTTGCCAACGCCGAGAAACCAATTCTCGGGTTTTATGTAGTGGTGCATGTCTGTACACGTACATACACCATTGCATTGCTCACGCGGACGCACCGTAGAGAGACAAGGACCGATAATCACGTGTTCTCCTTCCTCTACCGTGCCGGTATACGCGAGATGCCGCCTGAAAATGCTTTCTGGCCTTCCGTAGCAGAAGGCAGTAGCGTAGCAAGGCTAATAAGTACCTACTTTTTATAAATTTTATATATCCTTATGCACATATGTGCGTATATATATATATATATATATATATATATATATATATATATATATATAAGGGATATGTTGATTATTCTTGATTTCTTTTTGATTATTGATGCTATTGTATAATTTGCTCCAATAACTTATAACGTGAAAGAACGTACCGTTGAGTAATATAATCATCAATGCAAGGATGTTCAGTATATCATCCAGTAAATTAGAGTTCAAATATATCAATATCAATTTTTTTATAATACAATATATATATATATATATATATATATATGGAATATAGAAAAATGATAAAATATATTTCGGCGATTTAAAAATTTTTTAATATATTGAAAATATTTTTACTACATATATATAAGTGTAAAATAATTCAGAAAATAAATTTAATAAAAATCTACAT